TGCTGAACAGGTCGGGCTGGGCACAGCTGGTGCTGAGTTCCTGGAGCTTTTCAGCCCTATCAAGTCCTTGATGCTAAAAACCTCACCCCGGCATGGAAGTGGCTTGGGTGCTGGTGGCAGGAGGGGACACACAGCCCTTCCCACTGCTCCCAGCCTGCATGGGATGTCCAGCACTCCCTCTCCCCTGGTAGGCATCAGCCCTTCTCTGGTCAAATTTGGAAGGATGTGCAGAATTATCTGTCCCACGAGGACCCGTTCCTCGTCTCTGGGGCAGCACAGCAAACCCCCCTCTTAATGCGCCAAAACCCTCCCGCTGCTCAGAGTCTCCTGGCCCCACCAGGGAACAAGGGGATGCCTGGGCGGAGGGGACAGGTTCTCCATCCACCCCTGCTCCTGTGCCCTGGGGCAGAGCACCGGGTGTCAGCACATCCTCGGGGACCCCAAAAGCAGCCCCAGGGGCTTTCAGCTCTTCAGCTGCCCCCGGGGCCCCTGAGGAGCAAAGACTGGAGTCCTTGTCAAGCTCAGGCGTGGGCTGGCCAGGCCCAGGGATGGGCTGTGCCATGTCCCACAGGACATCCCTGAGCACCCTCCTCAGCTCCCCACAGCAGTGGATTGCTAGAGGGGAACGTGGCAGAACCATCTGGGCCCACCTCAATGCCTGGGAGCGGGAGCAGGAGCAGGGGCACAGCTTCTGCCCCTCAGCCTCTGCATCTCAGCCTCCCACCCTCCAAATTTAAATTAATTTATTATCAGGTCTTGCAAAAGCAGCCACTCGAACTCCCTGGAGGCAGAACGCCGCAGTGCTGCTCAGTGCTGAGGGCACACATGGGAATGGAGGGCCTGAGCAGGCAACCGGGCTACCACACCTCCCCGGGGACCACCACACCTCCCCGGGGACCACCACCTTGCCCACACTGCAAGGGCATCCCCAGCTTCCGAGCGGCTGGAAAAGCTGAGTCACTTACTTCACCTTGGAGAAGACAATGTCCACGTCGGTGCTGGTGATGCTTTTGCCATCGGTGACTTTGCAGTCTTTGCACAGCTTGGCCCAGTTCTTCCCGTTCATTTCTTGCCCTGTAGCTTTGGTGTCGCCGTAGATGGCGAATTTGCGGAAGCTCTCTTCCAGGGACGCCATCTCAGTGCTCCCAGCCATGGGGCTGCAGGATGTGGGGCAGAGGGGCCTGTTACTGCCCAGGCTCTGGCTGGCAGCACCAGCAGAGCTCAGCTGGCTCTGCCCTCGGGTCCGCGAGGGCAGGAGGAGGAGGAGGAGGGCTGGCGAGGGCGGGGGGGCTGCGGCAGGAGCAGGGCGCTGGCAGAGCCTGCAGGCGTGGGGCGAGGGCTAGCAGCAGCCTCTGACAAGCCCCGAGGTCACCACCCCAGATGTGTCTTGGGGGATGGAGGCTCCCGACTGAGAGCTGTCAGCGGCGAGGCTGTCGGCTCCAGGGGCTGGCGAGGAGCGAGCGGCATCAGCCCGTCCCCTGGGGACCACTCTGGGAATGACGCAATGCGGCCGCCTTCCTCCCTCTCCCTGAACATGAGAAACGGCACC